GCATTCGGACATATGATCGGTTTGATTTTTGAAAAATAATTAACATAATTAAAAACTACACAAAAAGTACTATAAATTATAAGAATTAACAATTTAAAAATATTTGAAATGCATATAAATAAAACACAATAAAAAGTCTTCTTATTTGTTGCTTGAAATTCAAACTATGTCATATAAACAAAGAATAATACATAATAAACCAAATACTATATATTTTATCAAAGCAAAAAATAAGTGCATATTCATTTTCTTAGAGAAAATGATCAAAATAGTCCTTAATGTATTGGGACTGCTTTATTTTGGTCCTCAATATATTCTAGGTGATTGAAATAGTCCTTCATGTATGACAAAATGTGTTCAATTTAGTCTTTTACCCTAAACTTAACAACTTACCCCCAAAAACTGCTAAATATAATGGTAGGCCCCACATAACTTACAAAATCCACCATTTTTATATTAGCTCAAAGAAAGAGTTTCATGAATTCTAAAACACTATTTTCCTCTAACATCTAACCACATAATTATTGTAATAGTGTGAGCTACACGTGTTATGTTATGTATTACCTATTGGTAGGTGCTGAGAGAAGCTAAGATAGACCCTCCAATCCAGACACTGTACTTCCGTTCAAGAGGCGCCACAACCTTGATTTTCATGTTGTTGGGAGCAAGAATGGTAATTTCCTTGCTCATACGATCAACAATACCAGGAAACATTGTTGTTCCACCACTGAGGACAATTACAAAATAATTTTGTAATTATGTGGTTAGATGTTAGAGGAAAATAGTGTTTTAGAATTCATGAAACTCTTTCTTTGAGCTAATAAAAATGGTAAAAAGGGTGATTTTTTGTAAGTTATGTGGGCCCCACCGTTATATTTAACAGTTTTTTGGGGGTAAAATGTTAAATTTAGGGTAAAAGACTAAATTAACACGTTTTGTCATACATGAAAGACTATTTCAATCACCTAGAATATATTAAGGACCAAAATAAAGCAACCTTAATACATTAAAGACCATTTTGATCATTTTCTCCATTTTCTTACACTGTACATTACATAAAAATGCTTATGCATTTATTATTATATATATATACAGATATATACAACAGTAAAACATATCAGCCGTCTTAGCTCAGTGGTAGAGCGCGATGCTTTTAACCACGTGGTCGTGGGTTCGATCCCCACAGACGGCGATTGGTATTTTTTAAAAAATTTATTGGTCCAAAACTAGTAAACAATACACAAGTTTTAGATTATTTTTTTTGCAAACTTTATAATTATTTAGATATTTCTTAGTCAACCTAGGGTGGTGTGTTTGGTACGAATAAAAAACAAAAATCGCGAAAATAAGTGTCTTTTACATATTTTATTGTGTTTGGTACATAAACAACAGATATTATTCTAAAAGCATTTGTATATAATCTAGAGAAACACTACGAAAGGTGAGAGTATTTAGATATTTCTTAGTCAACCTGAGTGGTGTGTTTGGTACGGACAAAAATATTTTTCGCGAAAATAAGTGTCTTTTACTTATTTTCTTGTGTTTGGTACATAAACAACAATTATTATTTTAAAAGCATTTGTATATAATCTAGAGCACTACGAAAGGTGAGAGTATTTAGATATTTCTTAGTCAACCTGAGTGGTGTGTTTGGTACGGATAAAAATATTTTTCGCGAAAATAAGTGTCTTTTACTTATTTTCTTGTGTTTGGTACATAAACAACAATTATTATTTTAAAAGCATTTGTATATAATCTAGAGCACTACGAAAGGTGAGAGTATTTAGATATTTCTTAGTCAACCTGAGTGGTGTGTTTGGTACGGATAAAAATATTTTTCGCGAAAATAAGTGTCTTTTACTTATTTTCTTGTGTTTGGTACATAAACAACAAATATTATTCTAAAAGCATTTGTATATAATCTAGAGAAACACTACGAAAGGTGAGGGGTGGGATGGGGGACTACGGGAGTTAGGGGGTGAAATTTGAAAATGAGGTGAGTCGGTGAGGGAGAATACACAATCAATGTGGAATGCTATTTACGAAATTTATTTTCTCTATTTTCACTTTATTTTTTACTTTTAAATAAGTACCGAACACACCCTTAGACTGATAAATAACGGGTGATGAACAAAGTAACCTTATTATTCTGCGACGCAAATAAGTTAACTTGAAATGCGAAAACTATATAAGAAATTTAATTTAAAATTATGAATTCTCAAGCCGCCATGAAAAATCCAAAATCACATCAAGTTACATTATAGATGTAATATATTTCCAGCTCAAGTGATAATTACCAATATTCTTTCCATTTTGATTTATTTTGTTGATTTTGACATAAAGTTTTAAAAAATAAATAATAATTTTGAATCTCGCACTCTTAGTAAAGATATGTAAAATGTATTAAAATAACATTTAATTTTGTAGTTAAAAAAATATTTTTTAAAAAAACTAAAAAAGTAGTCCTTTGGGATGGTTCAGTTGGTTCGGAGGGTGGTCATCAACATGGATGATCCGGAATCGATCCCCCCTCAATGCATTTCGAGTCGAGTCAAGTCTATCGCATAGGGCTTGTCTAATGTGGGGGGTTTACCCAGTGCGCACAAAGTGCTCACCTGAAGAACAGAGATTATAGCGATTGCAGTTTATCCTAGAGTTTCCAGAAGAAGAAAAAAAACTAAAAAGGTAAAAGAAACAAATTGAAACGAAGGATTGCGAATTTGCGACTTATTTAATCCTAGAACTAGAAAGTTCTAATGTATAATAACAATATAAAATTGAAAGAGCTCCATCAAAGACCATATTATTATTTTTGCAAGTTAGTAATGTCAAAGATTGTATTATATAGATATATATATATATATATATACTCATAAAGCTAGAGACTACGTACATGTCTATCCAAACTATTAATTTTAAATTTTTAAATTTAATTAGCTGATAACTGATAGTCATTTGAAAAATGTCCTTAAATCTGGACAAACAAAAAGTTTCAAAATTAACTTTATTTTGTTTATGTTTTTGACTTCCAATTGGTCCAAAATTAACAACAAACAAACATCATGTCTAATGAAATCTCATGTTTCTGAAAGTTCCTCGGCTCAATTAACACATAACAAAGCGGTATAGAAAAGCACATATAGTTAAGAAGACAATTATTTCCAAAAATATAGAAGCTAAACTAAAACATGAAATTTGAGTTGACTTAAGCTTCCTTGAGTTCTAAGCACTTTGGACGCCTCGGTGATGTGAAGCGTCGATCCCAACAGCAATTCCTACAGCTTTTACTTGGTGTTTGCTATGCTATTTATACTACTCCTTATGATGAATTTAATTGAAGTAACATGATGTATTCATATAATCGCGCCAAATTATTTAGGATTGCGGCATAACTGTAGTTATATTATATGTACATGAAATCACGAATGTAAAGTATGATTCTGACATAACCCTAGCTTTATTTACTTGTTAGTTGATCAAAACTATTAATAGACAGTTTGGATTAAAAAGAAAAACAAATGCACCAGCCGGGAATCGAACCCGGGTCTGTACCGTGGCAGGGTACTATTCTACCACTAGACCACTGGTGCTTGGTTGTTGGAATTTGTATGCCAGAGCAATTTTGTTTTATGAAACGAGAATATAAAGAAAAAAGTTCTCATAAACATAATTAAATGAAAAAATAAAATTTAAAAAAAGTCAACATAATTTAGAAGTTGTGAAAAATACAATTTTGGACGAAATATTAGACTATTGTCTAATATCTATAAAAGTTTAAATTGTGATCTCATTTCTCTCATAATATTTTTGTTTTAATCAAAATGAATCTTTAGATCGTAGTTTATTCATAAATCATAAGATAAATAAATAAAAGGGTCATTTACTGAATCAATCAAATTTATTTTTTTTGTTTATTTTGATTTCTAATTCAATGTCGGTTATTCTTACCAACTAATTTGTATTCTAGTTGTATAAATTTCATTAAAGAAAGAAAGTGTTCACTATTCTATTTTTAGGTCTCGAATTCTAATTTTTTATTAAAAAAAAAAAGTTAATTCTTTCTACCACAATCTTTGATGATAATTTGAATATAAATTCAAAGTGATATGACCTCAAAAAAGTGGAATAGAAAATTCTAAGGACAAATTAAACAAAAAGTCTATTGAGTTAAAAAAAAATTACACAACAAAGCAAACATGTGATATATATTTACGAAAAACCATTATAGTTTAAAAAATTAAAAATTGTATCTATATGTAACGTTTTAAAGCAAAATTCTCTCCTTTTCCACATAAATATGACGATTTTATTTTGTATTATGTACCAAATGTAATTATATTCCATATTAACTGTATTTTGTATTATGTATCAACCGTATACATATTTTGTATCAATTATATTATGACATTTTCTATTTTGTTAATTGTATTCGTCAATATAATTTGTGTTCGTTAATTTAATTATATTCGGTATATGATACAAATCAATTGTATCAATTATATTCAAACAATTATATTTCTATTTTGTATCAATTGTATTTGTATTCTATATTAATTGTAGTCGTGATACCATGAATATAACATGTATTGATCCTCTCTCTGTCTCGCTCGCCTCTCTCCTTCTAATATGTAGCTAAATACAATGATTTTTTAATACAAATCAATTTGTATTCATGATACAACAAATAAGTAATCAACCTCTATCACCTCTCCTCCCATAGCATGATTTCATATCGCATAGCCAAACGAGCCCTTAATATCAATTGAGTGAAAATATCAATCTTAATAATATCAATATAATACATTATACTGATTTGGTATTAGTTAAACAAAATTAGTTTGGAGGTATATAATATAATATAATAAATTAGTTATTTAGTAAGATATGAATGTAAATGGTACTATACGTTTGAACTATTTTATTTTTATGAGGTATTTTCTTAGTTTCTGTTAAATTTATTCCACAATATCCTTTTCAGACTTTACTTGCGGAAATAAACGGGGTTGTTGTAAATGCAAAATCCAAAGCAACCAAACGTGGCCAAATGACGTACCCACGTCCTCCGAAGAAATCCCATTTTTACACTGTTAGCCGATAGTGTAGAAAGGGGTTAGAGGAGACGGAAAAAATGGCGATTTCCATTTTCAGGCCTTCGGTTTCTCTTCCTCAACAGTTTCTCTATTCAATTAATCCCCAAAAATTTAGTTCAATTTCTGTTATTAGAAAGAAACAGAGTTTTCTTCGTTGCGCTTCATCGGATTCTGCTCCTCCTCTGACTAGGTAAAGCAGAAAAATAGTTTCAATTTTTTTGCTTAGTTAACAAGTAATCGTATCATTTATTTGAAAAATTAGTATTATTATTTTTTATCTTAGTATGTTGTATCCATTGTCCTGAAGAATTAATGGTTATTGTGTATCTACATTTGTTTATTTGCAGGCAAGAGATGTCATTAAGTGTTGGAATGTACCTAATTCCTCATCCCAACAAGGCAAGTAGTAAATCATACTCCGTCTCGGTCTATTTTAACTTGTCCACTATTGACTTGACGACAACTCTTTGCTATGTTGCCCTTCGAATATAATACTCTTTATGTCTACTTTTAATTGTCATGTTGTGCTTTTTGAAAGGCAATTTAACTATTTTTCAAAGTTAAATTAGAATACATTAATTTGATATTTTAAACAAAAATTTTAGATATTCAAAAACTATACGAAAAATACTATTCTAGTAATTTTTTGCATATCAATATGTTGAAAAAATACATCATAAAATGTAGTCAAAGTTATTATCGTTTGACTCTAAAAAGGAAACTATGACAATTAAAAGTAGACGGAGGTAGTAAAATTCAATGTTTTGATTTTTCATATTGGATAAATAAAGGAAATATTTATTTTTCCTATAATGGACAACTAAAAGTAACAGAGGGAGTATTGTTAATATTTTATAATGGCTCTTCTAATTATGTAAATTTCTCTCAGTTTGGACCAATATGAGTAACACTACTTCCCTCTTGTTTATTTCATATGAGCCCCGGTAGTTTTCTTGTCCTATGATTTATGTTTTCTGTGCTTCGATTATCGCACTCTTTTGTTGTTGTTACTATTCCTTGTTCTCTTAATGCCATGCACTGTTTTTTTCCTATTATTTACTATGTCCTCTCTACTTTTAATATTTTGCTTTGATATGTGTTACTTGAGCTGAGGGTTTTCCGGAAACAACCTCTCTACCTTCCCGAGGTAGAGGTAAGTAAGGTCTGCGTACACTCTATTCCAGTCAAATTTTCACTAAGGGGGTTTAAAAATATAAAGAAGTAAACACGCGAAGAAGTAAAAGGGGGTTAAACATCTACTATGTAATTTTCCATCTGAGAGGGTTGATCAGCCCTACGTGGCTCCACCCCTGCTCTACCATCCTCAGGAGTTACTTGTGGGATTACACTGGATATGTTGTTGTTGTTGTATATTTGATTGAGCATGGAGTTCTCTTTAAAAAAGACTTTTGGAACATACCATTAGGAACCTTAAAAGATTTTGGCAATTGTGCTATTAACTGAGTTTTGAATATAATATTTGTACATATTTAGGGGTTTTTAGATGCATATATAAGGTTTGGCCAAAGCTACTCACAGTGTTATCAAAGGCGCGCTTAAGCCCTGAAGTGAGGCTCAAAACGTGTTAAACGCTTCGTCTCGCTTTTCCTTGCTCCAGAGGAGATTGGTATTGGTAGAGTCGCATTCAACCCCGTCTTTGTGTGCTTTAGTGTCGTCATCAAGGTTCTAAGGCAAACATTTCCTTGCCAATGGGACTCTTATGAAGAAGTGAAACTAAATAATTGATATTTCACTTTATCATAAAAAAAATTCAATTTCTTAGGTCATATATTTGTCATTTATGTTTATAATTATTAGTCTTGGATTAAACATATATATTTGTATTCTTTTCTCCCTTTGCGCCTTTTTTCATTAAAGCCCACGCTTTATTTGCACTTTGCGCTTAAAGCCCCCACAGACCTTAGAGCTTTTTTGCGTTTTTCGCCTTTGATAACACTGGCTACTCATCAAACTCATACACTCAAGCCTACATCCACGGTTTGCCCCTGGTCTACGTGCCATAACATATAACATTTCCATGATTATAAGGGCATGTAATTAAGTGTAAAATGAGATGTTTTATTATTGGCGGTGTTGTATGTTTATGTTTTGAAGGTTGAGAAAGGTGGAGAAGATGCATTCTTTGTGAGCAGTGATGATGGGGAAGTGATTGTTGTTGCTGATGGTGTTTCCGGGTGAGATGCTTTATTATGGTTTCTTTTAAAGATATTTCCTCAGTTTGCAAAAGCATGTCATTTTGTTTATCAGTAACTCTTTGGCGTAATTTTAGTGAACATAAGTTATATGTTAAACTATCTTTAACTATGAAGACTTGTGGTTCATATTAACTTCATGTAATTTCTTAATGTGAGAACTTTAAGGAATCAATTTTCAGTATTATACAAAAAATTATATGCCATGACTTTCTTTCTATGATCATGTATTTGTGCTGGGGACAAAGAAAGTATGAACTTTGTAGACAGTACTAGTTTGGCCTTCAACCTCACAAGTAAAGTCGGACATGAGACGGCTACAGCCTACGTGTATTGTTCTGGTGTTCTCAACTCCTCTCTACCTGTGATTTTTGAGGTTTAGAACTCACTGAGATCCCATTTGGAGATGTTTATAATCACATGCTTGCACCACAATAAATCAACATATGAGTACAACTTCCAAGTCGTATTCACCAAGTAGAAGCTCTCATCTCAGGCAAGGCAAGAAAATTGAGCATGATATTAGATTTACTGTCCCATAGTAATCAATTAACTATGCCTCAAATCTAGACTAATTAGAAACAAGCTTATACCTGCTTTAAGGCAGAATCGATTGCAGGACCTTATTTTGAGCTCTTTTCTTCTGTACTTTCTGGAGGGGAAAATTTTGGGAAAGGTCCATACTAAGAGCTCAATCACATTAAGAAAAATTATCTCTGGACTCTTTGCTAGTTTCAAAGTGTTATCTTTTTTTTTGGAAGTTACCGGAGTAAGAAAAATTATCTCTCGGTTTCACTTTTTCGGTAATATAAGGTGCACCTTCTAATAGCGCCATATATAAGGATGAACATTACAATACAGTATTACTTAGGTTGAATCTTCTAAATGATATCATCAGAATCCTGTTTATTTTCATATCGAGACTGAAACTACTACTCAACTGGAGTAACAATGCCAGATCAACCTGATGCATGAAATTTTTTTAAGTTGAACCTCTCTACCTGGTATACGACTATAAGCCATCCGAATCCTGCTGCATGAAAATTCTTTATTTCAACTTCTGAGTGGTATATTTGTGAGGATTGAAATTTCGTCTTTTAATTTAGAATTACATACATATACACAAAACTAGTGCATAGACAAGGTTCCCTAGAGAGGATTATGCAATGAAAGGATATTAACTAACTCTCAGGACTAACCTTATCAGCTAATAAGGAACTATGATGATTCCGACTGTTATTTTGCTTACACTCAGCAATCAACAAAAATAGCCACAAAGTCCACTGGCATTATCTCCAAATGACAATTTTTTGAACCTAAATGTTTGTGGCTCAGAGTTGCATAAATATCTAACATATATATTATTCCCTCAAATGTTCTTTGCAGTTGGGCTGAAAAGAATGTGGATCCCGCACTGTTCTCCAGAGAATTGGTGGCTAACGTTTCTTCTTTGGTGGGGAATGTGGAGGTACCAACATTGTGAAGACAGACCATCCTGATTTTAAAATTAGTTTCAGGCGTCACGTCACATTAAACAACAGTGACCTGTGTTTCCGTTTAAGTAATCACCTAGATTTAATCAATTGTTATGGATTCTTCATTGAGACATTCTGGTTTACTAATTTTGCCAGGTCAATGATGATCCTCGGATTCTCATAAAGGGAGCCCATGCTGCTACATCATCTATCGGTTCAGCTACGGTGTAGGTTCCTTTTATCTTCAGTGCTATTGTTCTCGAGCATTGATATTCATCCAGATTGAGGAACTTGATTATTATCATTGAATGTGGCTTTCTATGTGGAAGATAGACTTGTTTCTGTATTCAAGAATGGAATTTTGAAGATAGGCAGTGTTGGGGATTGTGGACTACGGGTTATTCGTAAAGGTACAAACTCATATTTTTCTTTTGTGTGACTTTAAGGTTCAATTTTATCTGATGTCATTATTGCCTATTTTGGTGCAGGTCAGATGATTTTCTCCACATTTCCACTCGAACACTATTTTGACTGCCCATACCAGTTGAGCTCAGAGTCTGTTACTCAAACATACCTTGATGCCATAGTATGGAAAGTTATATACGGTGAATCATATTACACTTTTCCTTTCGAGTAAAATGAACTTGGTTCTATTTGCTTCCTTGTCATTATTGGTATCTGGTTAGGTAAAGAGGATAAACTTTATAATCTTTTCTCAGGTGTCAAAACTTTACACAAAAAGCTTTCAGAGACCTCCTTACTTTCTAGTACTTGCAGAATCCAGACTAATTTGGATGCCAAGTAATTAAAATTTACTCTTTTCCTGATCACCTGATGGAGAAAATCAATTTTCTCTAATGTGCAATTTGGTATCGTTAGAGATCTTGTTACTTGTCATCCAATAAGCCTACATGTCCTAGGGAGACGTTTTTGTCGCCTCACCACATAAATTTTGTGATATTGTATTTGACTGCTAGAGTAAACGCGCTCTTTGTCTCGTCTCTGTGTATGTTCTTTTCTCAGGTTAGCACGGTGAACTTGCAAGTAGGAGATACAATTGTAATGGGCTCAGATGGCCTCTTTGATAATATTTTCGATCAAGAGATTGTTTCAGTTGTGACCACAAATGATGATGTCTCTAATGCTGGTACTTGTTTTCTACTTAAATCTTATTTCTGCTTGTAAACAGTTGACTCATTTCTATGGTATTCTTACTTGTTTGGTATCAATGTTAGCTAAGGCATTAGCTGATTTGGCGCGCAATCATTCTGTGGATACCAAATTCGACTCCCCTTTTTCACTGGAGGCTAGAGCAAGGGTAAATTTTCAGAGTGATTCAATATATATATAAATTGTCCTCAAATGCATCGTCTGTCACGGTATAAGATGATACTTATTTTTTAGCATTACTTTGACTAACAGGGATTTGATGTTCCTTGGTGGAAGAAAGTATTTGGAATGAAGTTTACAGGTATGACTAGAAGGAATCATTTTTCGAGCCTATTCTTGCCATATTCTTGATGACATGCCCGACAAGGTTTCTTTCCTATGTAACCTTGAACAGGAGGAAAGCTCGATGATATTACAGTCATTGTTGGAAAGGTGAAAACTACGTGAGAAAGCTGGCCTGAACACCACTGATATTTTCAACAACAATAAAAGGTCGTGAACAAGTCATATATCTTTGGTGCCAAGACATTGGCAGGGTCCCCTCTCCTGAATCATTGGGCTATCGAATGGTGTTTTAAACTACGAGTTGAAGGATGAGGTAAGACGAGAACAACTTCAAACTACACTCGATCATTGTTTTTGTATTGTGTTATTTCAAGGTGTCTGTTGTAAGACAATATATGGCACTACTATCTGTATGACATTTGGGACCATTTAAATTCTTCATTGATAAAAAATACAACCATAAAAAAGCTTGCTAACTTGTTTAACACCTGCAGTCTCTAAAGAAATGGTAAGTATTATAGATGTTATATCTCTTCTGGAAAATGAAATTTCATTATGTTACTATACATGTTTTGGGGAATGAAGTTTCATTATGTTACTATACATTTTTCGCCTCTCTACCTTCAAGGTATGCGTACACGGTACATCTATCCTCCCTATACCTCACGTTTCGTGGGATTACACTGGTATGTTGTTGTTTTACTATAGTGCTTACACTGCCAATGGATTAATCCGTATTACATAGCAGCACCTTCATTTTCCAGTAGGTTTGGGGTCAGCTAATTTCACGAGACACATGCTACCTCTTATCAACATAGATACCAACTTACTCTGAACATGAAAAAAAGGGATAGATAGGAAGAAGTCACCTCGCACATATAATCCTGGAATATTATTCCTAGTTTGAAACCAAATTCCTCCTAGAAATGGAATTTAAATTTAGTGTTAAATAAGACATCATATATTATTCATATATAATGATAAGTCTTCAACATAATATAATTGTGAGGGAATCTGTAATTAATTCTAAAGTAACAAAAGAAAGAGTACATTTGCAGCAACAAACTGGCTTCTGCTCCTCTTCATGTAATCACGTGACTACGAGCCTTTTGCCACGGACTACAATTTATGTATCATATTTATTGAATTTATATACATAAAAAAATATTATTATACATAAAGTACAATGAATAAATTAAAATCATAATATCTTACTAAATTATGTATCATATTTATTGAATTCATATTCATAAAGAAATATTATTAAACATATAGTACAATGAATAAATTAAAATCATAATATCTTACTAAATTATGTATCATATTTATTGAATTCATATTCATAAAGAAATATTATTAAACATATAGTACAATGAATAAATTAAAATCATAATATCTTACTAAATTATGTATCATATTTATTGAATTCATATAGAAAATAAATTCATTATACATAGAGTACAATGTATATGTATGATTCATTGTAACATAATTTTTGTTAAATGATTCATTATAAAATAAATTCAAGAATTCAATGATTCATTGTAAAAATAAATTCAGTATACATAATGTTTATTGTTTCTTAATAATCAAATATTATTCCTTGTATCTTTACTTTTTACATTCAATGTATGTTGGTGAGAGAATAAACTATATAAGCAAGATAATAAATTTCTTGAAACCATATCCAAAAATGATTTCTCATTTAAAATGTGTCACAAAATCAACAATAGAATCATATTTCACAAAATTATCTTAAATATATTTGTATTTTAAAAAAATTATTAATTTATAATATTAATGGGACCATATTTATATAGCGCTCTTCTGAAAATACTTTTTAAAAAATTATCTTATCAAAATGAGTGATTTTTTTCATTCGCCCAAGTCGGAATCAAAGAAAAATACTATCTTAAAGAGATTATTAATTTATTAAGGTTTTACAATAATTATCATTCAGTATTCGACAGTTAATTATAAATTAACATTGGATATATTAGACTTAATTCAACTATATCGAAAGAAAAAAAAAAAAAAAAAAAAAAGAGAGAAACCTTTCTAACATGTCTTTGAAATATGGCCATGAACAACATACTCATAAATGAGTCTATACTAAGACACTATTTCTTGACTCACATAATTTTTTATAACCTAAAGTTCTTATATCAAATTTATCGCGATCTATATAACACTATAGAAAAGACAACATTTGCCACTACTAATAGATTGTGGTTGGCTTAACTCAGCATAGGAGCTTATTGGATATTGATTTTTAAATATGCTAATTCATTAGTTATCATCATGATTTCAAATTTTGGATCGTGACACTCTATAATGTCTATATGTACAATATCTTTGACCTCCCAAAAAGGTTAGCAAATTATATCTCAGTTTCATTAATGACAGTAAAGCAACAAATATAGATTGAAGAATATGTTTAGTGATAACAACGTTTTAAAACTTATACACATGCTCAAAATTGAACTTGAAACACAATAACTAAAAATCAAGGATAGAGTTGTTACACAAATAACCTCCAAAATTTTAAGGATAATCATTGATAAGTAATTTGATAACAAATCTAATTTCATATATCAAATTAGATTACACTATATTTCTTCCATTTCAAAACAAATGATGTTTTATATATAAAATAAAACAAAATAACTTTTTTCTTCCAAAATTATCCTTGTGTATATGAAGTTTACACCATTAAAAAGTCGTTTTTTTCTCCAAACTAAAAATATCACTTATTTTGATACAGTTGAATAACATATGAAGTAAATTTACCATGTCAATAAAATAGGATAAATTCTAAAACTTAATACTCCCTCTGTTCATCTTTACTTGTTCACTATACTAAAAATAGTTGTTCAATAATATTTGTCCAGTTTGAAACCCAAGAAATAATTTATTCTTGTGTTTATTGTATCCTTAATCTCAAATACTATTCGATATGAGTAATATTTAATACATTTTCCAAAACATTAAATTTAATATATTCAAAGAGTAATATAGTTATATTATCTCTATTATTTAGAGTATTGTTTCTTAATGTATATACCAAGTCAATAATGAACGACGACTATTGTTGAATTGAGTAAGTACTAGTCGATCATAGAACACGAAGCCATGGGAACCTAATATTAATGCTTTCTAATTAAACAATAGACTTTAAGCTATGTTGTCAAATATTTTAGATTGTTTTGAATCTTCACTAATCATATTGGAATTTAAATAAGAGAAAAGAAAAAGGACAAAACATCCATTTTCCCAATGTAATCGAATTTTCCATATCACAAGGCTCATTTCCGATTGTGGATCTTTCGAAAATAGTTAAGTTCTCATCTAATCTGAATTAGTTGCAATTTGGTGTCTGGTCCTAGCTAGATGCTTTCAGAGCTAGATGATTGCCTTGCTGATATGATTTCGATCTTGAATATCTCAAATTCAAATCTTCTACGAATACAATTTCTTTTCTAAATTATATTTAAGAAAAATATTTAGTGTTTACTCTTGATGAGATGCATTTAATTTGTCCTATTTATTACGTATCGCTTCGTAAGTTACCTATATCTCTAATATCTTATCCAATTTTCACCCCATACAACCTCTTCAAACTCTAAGAATAGAAGCTATGTTGTCAAAGATTAGATTGTTTAAATCTTCACTACTCATATTGAAATTTGAATATATAAAAGAAAATAAAAAGACAAAACATCCATTTTCCCAATATAATCGAATCTTCCATATAACAAGGCTCATTAAATGTTTTGGATTGGAGCTTGCATGTTGTTTTTTTTTGTTTTCTCTATGACGGTGAAGATGTTTGTTTTTTACGCAAACTTTAATACTTAGATTTATTAATTAGTTTAAACAAAACACATTAATTAATTAATTAATTAATATTGGTATAAACAATACATTTACAAGGTTCTGATCCTGTCGACCACCCTATCTTCTTCCTATGACCGTAGGGTTTGAAAAAATTGTAATTGTTCATTTTTACTTGTTCGATTTGAATTTTGTATGCTTTAGATTAGATTTATAAATTGTTTTTACGATATAATTAGTTGTTTGTAGTGGCCTTTATTTAATTTTCTAGGGTATCAATTTAAATTTGTTATAATAGTTATATCTTTTGTTATATATGTCTCTTTAATGTAAAACCTTTTATGTTTATCGAATCCTGAAAGTCCTAGGCGGGTAAAGTGCCCCTAACAAAGACATTTAATCTTATATTTAAAAATTAAACTCAAAATCTCTTATTAAGATAATTGATCTTTTGCTTAGAAATTGAACTCGAAATCTTTTATTAAGTATAAAGAGTTACTTATTATCCTACTATAAGAAATTCTTGTTGGTCTAATGCATAAAAGTTAAACATAATTGGATCAAACTTATACAATTAACCGTATATACATTTTTTTTCTAAATTATCAAGTTAGTCTTAAATCACATATGAATGTGTAGTAATATGAAAATTTAGTCTTAAATCACATATGAATGTGTAGTAATAGGAAAATTTTCTTATTATAATTTTTACTTTTTTAAATCATCTGAAAGTTATCGATGTTACTAATTTAAATTTATGACACGTAAAATCTAAACACCAATTAAGAGTACAAATATACATGTGTATCGCATAAAGTCATACTCTCAATCCTTTCCTAATATAATATATTTTTATTTTCATAGCTCAAATCCATCATATCTTACTGAGATAAAAAATTACATTATTTATTAGTCCAAGAGGAACTTTGACTTGGTTTCCTAGAATTTTAATACTACTAGAGTAGCATATATTATAATATATATAATATAATAATATTAGAGTCTACTAGGGAAAGAGAGTTTCTTTTCTTGGAAGAGCAGATTACAAGTTTGGAATCATGTGGAAAGCATTCAATGCACATCTTAAGAAACATTTGTTAATTTATTGGACTTTTTTACGGCAGGAATCTCATAATTAATTTTCGTACCAACTTAATGTGAACATATGTTAGAAAATATAGTTAATTAAATAAATAATTAAGTGGACAGGAAATATATTGATTTTACTATATATAATATCCCTTTTTGCGACCCTTGTTCTATGGTAAAATCAATTTGAATTTTCTTCTTTATTTGTTTTGCAACCTTTTGGGTGAGGGAAAGTAAAGAATAATTAGTCTGGGAATAGATCGGATCACATAAAAACTTATTATATATATATATATATATATATGGTCTTGTTTTATATTTTTGTAATTATGTATATTCTACTTTTTACAATCTCATAACTCTTGACTAGTCAACTCTTCATCGTGATCGCTTGATTCAAAATTTTCAGCCACTATTTTAAGTTTCCAACCTGTCGAGTATTATCTATTTTGATCCGTCTAGATATTTGTATTTCAAAATATATGAGGTTAAAATTAGGTATAATTTGTTTTAAATACATTGTATTGATCAAGTGGATTCGCATGTATCTGGAATAAACAACAA